CTCGGTAAATAGTATACCTCATCTATTGCAACTGCAGCAAATATGAATCGGTTTTTACTATCAAGGAAGTACAAATACTGCCCACCTTTTGACTGAATGTGGTGATACCCTTGTGTGGCAAGATAATATGCACTAAGCAAGTTACTACCGCACTCTTTATCAAAGGCAACATTTTGTATTGAGATATCACTATAGTACCCTCTGGGTTTGAGAATACTAAATCTCACTGTCCCTTGGAGCTTGGTTGACGAGGTGCCTCCGTTTCCATATTCAAAGATATGAGTCCGTCCTTTGCCAAGCTGGCTGAACCACCTTCTATCCGAACTTATAGCGTGTCCAGCTCCTGTATCAACCACCCATAGATTATCAGTCAGGTTCAACTCCCTCAATTTAGAAAGATACTCAGGGTATCTTCTCCGTACCTCATCATCAATCTCCATTGAGTGCATCGGTGCCTCATCTTCGCTTCCTTCACTCGCTGGAACACTCCCCTTGTACTCAAGTTCGTCGGCATCCTCAATTGCCTTGTTCAAACTGAGGTCGAACTTGGCAGCTTGAGCTGGGGTCCTTTCTTCGTCTTGGTTCACCTTCACCCTCTTGGTAGTCGACTTGCCCCCCCTTCTTGACCGTCATCGCTCGCTTTTGTTTCGGTGACAGGAGCCGCCCGTATGTTTGAGCGAAGCAGCTTGCCTCCAGCCCTTTTCGGGTTGCGGCCAGCCGCCAACACTGGGCAGGCCTTCTTCCAGTGGCCATCTTCAAAGCAGTAATAACACTCGCTTACTGCCACTTCAGAGGATTGTCCTTGGTTCCTTTTTCTTTCCCGTAAACTTTCTTGCCGCATTGACAGTCGCTGGGCGTCTCTTATCAGTCAGCATCGTGGCTTCCCTCCCTCGATCGATCACCGAAAACGCGGCGAAGACTCGTCTCCACGTTTTCAATAGAAAACCACTCTTCAGTCATGATGATTGTGCCTCCCCAAAACTCGCTTGGTAGTAACGCCAGCACTTCCATGCACAGCCAGGTCTCGGTCACCATGTCCTTGCCAACCAGACCCCTCATCTTCCTGTTAGTGTCGTTACGCAGCTTCTTTAACTGGGCGAATAGGGCCCCCAGATTGGTCCAGTTCGCTGCGAGAAGACGCTCCAACTGGCGGCGCAGCTCGATTACGCCTCCTGCATCCCCGAGCCCGTACTTTTGCTCGAGCTCCTTCCATATGTCACAGGGATTCATTCTGGACACTTGATCCGGCAGCCCACTCAAGAAAACGTTAGGCAACGCTTGGTTGAATAAGTTCAACAGCTCGGACCGAGCCCTAGTCCAGTGTTGGTGGCGCCAACGCTTGGCCTTCGCCTCTTCTTGAGAAATATTTCCCTCCACCGAAATGATGGGTCTCTCAGGCGTACCCTCAAGGAAGTCCATCATGACAACCGTAGCCTCAGGCTGGTCCTTTTCCAACAGCCCTCGCTGGTATTTCTCATCCAGCGTCTCTATGTGCGTTAGCACCTTGTCTCGCCACATGGTGTAGTCCTCCCCATGGAACTTTTCCAGTCCCAGGACCTGGGCACTCCTATTGTGTCCTTTAACCATGGGCCTTAGTCTCCGTACGTATCTGAAATATTAAGCTCTATGTAATAGGCCGTCAGTTTCAAAGTGAGGAGGCCTTTTAAAGCGGGCGCGCCACGCGTCCTCCTCACCATTAACATCCCTCGGCAATGTGTTTACTTATTAAGTTTCCTTAAGAAGTAGGATGTTTGAACCTTTTCTATTGGCTACATATTTGACCAATTAAGGTGCATTCTAACACTGCGGTCCCGGTTGGCCTTCTCTTAGGCTTCTTGCATGAGCTCGAGACTTGCAGCTACTGCCAGGTCGGGCAGTGAGCAATGCGCCGACGTCTCGTGCAGTATCCTAGCTTGTGCTGGCACTGGCAGTGCAGTAGTGCCGCAATGCTGCTCAATGACCCTCAAATGAGAATATTCTGTCTGTTAGTTTTAGATAGTTTTGAATTTTGAATGGAATTTCGGACGTTTTCTGGAAGGATATTAGACAGTTTTAAATTAGCCCTAGCATCTAAGTCTGTCAATGTGAAGGGGCGTTGTCCATGACGATAACCACCATTTTGTCCTGGTAGTCCTCGATGTACTGCTCCGATGACTGCACAACGTCGAAATATCTATCAGAGACTGCAGCATTCGCGCCCATACGAATACTGCAGCATTGGAGTCGGTAGGTGTGGAGACCAATGGGGGGCAAAGCTGCACGGTGTATCTGCAAGTGTGCGCCTTTTGAAGGCGGTAGTTTGCGACAGCTCTCTGTAATCGCTTAGCGCGGCTGCGCATCCTCTTTAAGTGCCCATTGACGTTAGTCTCGTCATACTGTAATAAACGAAAAAAATTCCTGCCCCTTGAGCTTCTCGGAGAAAACGAGACGCTCAAGGGGCAGTTTTTCTTGTCCTTGTGAGTTTGTCTTGTTGACGTCGCCGTTACACATCGTAGGTTTGACACACCTACTTCGGTTACAATCAGTTACTATACGGGGTTTCCCCTAGACGAGGGCCTAATTGGCCGGCTCATGTTTTTCCAAATTGGGGTTTCGAGACCAGCGAGTACCAAATTTTATCCCACGTCTTAGTGTTACAGTAGTAACATTAGAAGTTAATTTATACGCGCTGGGCTGTGCAGCTCGATGTGTTTAGGATGCTGAGATGCGGTTCATGATGGCGGCGCCGATGGATCAGAAATAGTGTATTGCTGTAACGATTAGTGTACTGTATGGTAGCGGTGATTGCTCCCTCCAGCAACGATTATATATTAATAATACCCCCATTGTTGATTGGCCTGCTCCCTCCGGCAACGATTATTAATACTTAAGTAATACCCCCATTGCTGATTGGCCTAGCAGTGATTGCTCCCTCAGGCTTTTAGGTAGAATATGAGCGACAAAACATGAGCCGCCAATTAGGCCCTCGTCCGCCGAAGATTCTCTAACTATATGACTATGGTATATTAAGAAACATTTTTTGTCTTCTAATGAACTATATGCTGCTATGTTTAGAGTCTAAATCATTTGGGAGACCTCCTATAGAACATAACTTAGCACTTTTCCCCAGGTCCTAACACGCTACTTGTACAATAATCGCATTAAGCGCTGGTGCTGAAGATGCCTTTAAAGGATCGACCGGTGCAAATTTGACGCATTCAACTGCTGAATCAGTGAAATTATAGTCGACAAGAAATACTCCATAATGGAGATCCAAACGCCAGAAGATGCCAACATATACTACGGTAGTTTCGGTAACGCTCTGCTCTCTATTACCTATGGTAGCTCCATTCGAACCCAATACCAAACTATTATATTTCTCGCACCACACCCATCCAATACTGAAGTGCATTGTAGGTAGAGCCAGCGATAAGATAAAGTCACAAGTTACGTGACATATGTGGATACGCAATACCGATAGACTACTATTAATAAGGCTGTCGCCATCGAAGAAGTGGTGATGGAGAAAGTTACAGCTACAGAGATTTAAATACGTACTTATACGTGAAGCAGATGCTGTGTCACTGCGTATACCAGACCATTAAATGGCGATTAGAGTTCTGTTGACATATTTCAAAGACCTGTTTGTCAAGAAGGCTCTCGTCTTAAATTTGTTGTGCTATCCCAGCCTTCGCGGAGATTTTGATAGTAGCCAACTTGCAGCTTCACCGGTAAGCGATGTTACTTGGACAGGAGATGCGTTTATTTCTCAGTAGCAGCAAATGGTTACTTATGCATGAGATTTTGCAAAAGGGTGCAAACGAAGCGTTTAGCTAAACCTTACATAACGATTTACGCTGTCATCTTAATTAACTACATTGTACAGTACTGTACTGAACATGCGAGCTGAGGTCCAGTTTGCATATAAGAGTCGCTGTCCTTTCTTTGATCCTGAACACCACGTCGTGCACACACCGAGAACAACGCCGAGTTCCACGGCACATTTATTAATCCGTGGCACTCAAAATGCTGGCCACAAGACGTCTTTTCGAACGCATACGAATTGCTATCTTCAGTTACTTGATGATTTCAGAACGTTTTTTTTTGCTGCCGACGCTTTTTTTTAATAAATAGTGGGTGGCTCCTGAAATCACCAATTTTTACGTGTACCAAATGCGAAAAAAATAAACCAATCATAAATATTTTGGTACAAACCAATCGATTTCCAGATTAAAAGTCGTTTGGTCTGGAAAATAAATATTCTTCCTGTATCAGGTAGAGAAAGGTATTAAATTTAACCAAGTTGTATCCTCTGTTCTTCTCGTTGATGCTCTTAATTGACCCTAGAGGTTTTGACAAATCTCATGTACACATTGATTTGTCTCGAACTATTATAGCAACCGCATGAGGAGTACACTACTTTTCTCCGTAGGGACAACAATCGAGCAAAATCGCCGCGTTAATGCAACATAACATGGACGGATAAAATAAAAATGTGATTTCAGGAACCACTGCGTGGTATTTAAGCAAAAAGAAAATTACATGTATTGCGCTGGTCGTAGATCGCAGCAAGTTTCCCAACCGAACCGCCTTTGTGCCACAACCTCATGATGCGAATTGTTTCAGAAGTCGTCTTGGGTATGCTCAATGGTGACCCGGCAACGATACCTTTTTCTTCGCGTGTTAAACAGGTCTTGGAAACCCTCCGAAGCCAAACATAATTGGTTTTGCGCCGAACGTCACACCAGCTCCACAAGCCACCATTCGAGACTCCATATGACAGTGCAATGGCTCTCCTAAAGATACTTTTCACCTTATTCATTGTGATATCCAGTCCCACCGCAACAACCGCCGGTACTTCACCATCGAGAGCGCAAGGAGCAGTACCAGTACCGACACAACCTACCAGATCCTTGGTTTCAAGATCGTATGCATCCACCAGTGAAGTGGACATTGCCACCCCTGCAACTGCGAAGAGTGCTGTTATATCAACGTACCGCAATTGGGTGGGAACGTGGTCAATGTCGCAAGATACGGCGTGCTATCGAGAGGCTCACATCATGGATGTTTGTCCAAGCAACTACGACCGGAACGAGGCCACAAATACGTGCTGGATTGAATGCCCCATCGAGTATCCTGTAGAATGCGGCATGGAATGTATCCGTCAAAATGACGACTGTGGGATTGAGGTGGCCAGCAAGTTCTCTGCCTTTGGCATTACCGTCCTCAGTAGTGCCACATTTGGTGCGTTTGGTGCGCTGGAGATACTGGGCAAGAAGGTCTGGTGGGCTGCCGGGTGCTCCACGTTGGTCATGGTGACGATGCGAGGCATCCTCCGATACATTCGCACCATGAAAGCCAGGCGTCCGACCGCAAGATACTCCTCCTACTGTTTCACTCAAGCATTGTGGTCACGGATTTACCTCTTACTATTGCAGTTTGCATGAAAATGCGTGTGTCCATGAGCCTCATTTTGTCGCAAAAAATGGTGACCACACTCAGTGGATGCTGTCGCAAGCTCTGGCTCATGATGATAGTATTATTTTGAGTTGGCAGCGATTCCGAGCATTTCTTAAAGGGGCCAACTTCACTGAAGCCGTCGAGAAGATCACCAAGGGGGAGATCAAGTCGCTTGAGACAGCCATGAAGAAAAATTCGAGCTGTGGCGGAGAGCTCAAGTCTCTAGTAGACCGGGTATGGCTTACTGTGAACGAGTACCGAGAAGAGAATCCTGCCATCACAGATGATGAAGTTCGGCTAAAGATTACCGACTCCGACCTCGTACTACACGATATAGCTGTAGTGACGAACAACTGTATGCACCAGATGATAGCCGAGTCCAATCAAGCAACCGCTTACAAGACGCGTGAGGTTTTGCGCAAGACCTTTGGAGTTATTATGAACGACCTTATAAAGTCGGGGAAGAGCGACAATGGCACGTCCTACGACGACAAGGAAAAAGCGTACAGAGTGGTCGATCTTGCCTTCACCGCTGCCGCTGTAACGCTGCTAGACCCTACTCGTATTACGCTGTTCTTCTCTGAGTTTATCCAGAAAATTTGCGGACCTACTCAGTTTATGGGCGAGATCGACGATGGTACAAAACCTGCTACGTTGGGCTTGAATACGCTTCAAAAGGCTTTCAAGGGGACGACTAGCTCGTGGACTAAGAAGGGCGACGGAGCCGTCATCATCAAATTTTCGAGTACCAGACACGAAAGACGTGACTGTGAACATCATGTCGGGAGGGGACAGGATCGACGAAGTCGACGAGGAACTGGCGAATGGAATTCAACTGTCAAGGCTCTTGGTGGTAACACGCTGTACCTCGACCGCTGGCGTCCAGGATTTCTCGGTCTTCCAGGAACAGGAGGCGGGTCGCTGGTCCTGTGGGTACCTAGATCCTCTCAAGGAGGCCATTTGGAGCTTAAGGTGAAGCAACGTGAGCTAAAGCTCCGTTCTAATAGTTGAATAGAATGATATCATCCATGTTAGAGCTTTGTTGTTATTCTTCCAGCAACAAAAGTGTTAGATATTATTCGTTAGTTTTCAAGCTTTTACATTTCAGATGCACTGAAGTACTACGATCATTTTATTATGTACCTGAGTAAGGTCACCAAATAGAAAGGTTAGCTATTTTTGGGGTCGTGTACGGGTAGGGCCTGATAATTGGGTCAGGCGGGTTTCCTGACGGCCCTACCAAACACAGGACCAATTGCTAAGCTACATATTGAAGTGAAAGATACGAAGCTAAGCAGTTGGGTTAGAATGCTTAGACCACGATGGTCTGCGCGGCACGAGGTTGGTCGGCTTCAGTGTCGCCTTCATCGGCATCACTGTCATTGCTCATCACATCTGCGCCCAAATTGGTAGCAGCAGCGTCCTCTTCGCTGCTAGTAGCAGAGACGCCCTCGTTGTCATCATCACTGTCGACATCTACAGCCTCGTCATCTTCTTCACTGCTCGATTCTTCTTCTTCTGTAGGAAGATCCTGTTGGAAATGGAACCTGACCCAATAATCAGGCCTGACCTGTATACGACCCCGTTAAAATTCTACCAATAGAAATACTGTAAGTCTTGTAGTTCTTCTAAAGATTGTGCTAGCGATTTTTGCTCTGTTTTAGCTTAATAATGATCTTTATAGTTTTTCCTGCATCATAAATGTTATTATTGTCAAGCGGAGCTGCTTTTTTCTTCTTCGATTTCTAAGAATATACTTGAACAGTACAACAATGACAAAACAGCAAAGATGTAGATTAAAAACTGAAAGACTGAGCAACTTATCATCAGCTGTCTGCAACTACGGCACTCGAACGCTAGCTACGTTTCCCACGTATCATTTCTCACTTTCAGCTTCCCAATCACGTGACCACAGCGACAAACTGCGCTACCGCTGAAAATCTGATCGCAGATAATTTTGCGCAAGAAGTTATCGACTTTTTTTTCCGACGCCAATTCCAGCGCCTCCTTTAGCACTTGCAGCGGCCAGTTGCCTCTTGCAGTCTCATTTAGTATCTCCAGCACACCCCTTTCTCTCCGCTCTGCCGCACACATAAATACCTTGATCCTGATATCACGAGGTACACGCTCTTTATCACACATGCGGCTTGAGAGAGTTCTGTAATTTGCATGAACGCTTCCAGTAGTGCATTAGGAGAAATCAAACCAGACTCGTACAGAGATTCTACCAGATCCCTTTGACCTCGAGACGCTGCGACTCTGGCTTCACTTGTAAGGCGTGGATCGTCACCCAGAAGCTCAATGATCTCATTGTGAAGGTTTTTAGCAGCAGCAGCGTATGCCTCACCGACGACTTCGACAAGAATGCAGTCCAGATATTACAAGACCTTGACCGCTTCAACATTGTCCTCACTTACGCGAAAATAGAAAGACTCACTCTCACAAGCGGATGCTCGTCTGAAGGCAGCGATGATCGACCCGGACGAGATTTATTCGTTCTGATGGAGCGCTGCAAAGTGGCTTGTAACACGGAAAGCTCCATTGACCGCATCAGACGGTGCCAGCTTCTTGCTGCAGAGAAAAGTTACTGTTTCTGTTGGATATAGCATCAATCCAGCTGCTTCCTTGAGGACTGCGTCGACTACTTCTGACGAAATACGACTGGTACTGAGCAAGAATTCAACGACATCCGTCGACCCCCACTTCGCTGCAGCCATGAGCGCTGCGTTGAACGACTCGATGTTATCGTGTCCGCTAGTGTACGCATACTTCAAAGCTTTGTCATATCCTCTGCGTGCGAGCTCAACGAACAAATCTCCCGTCCGGGCTATGCCCGGGTAGATGCCGTACAGCTTCTCTGCGAGTGGCTTGTCATGTCTCGACGCTGCTGCGTCATAGGCTTTTGCTATATTCCAGCTAATTCCAGCCACTACACTTGCAACAGAATCTCGACTATTTCATTGTGTTGGCCCAGAATCGCGTGTGTCAACGCGTCGGGTTCATTCCGTGCGCCGTAAACGTGAGTGCATTTATCTTCTAGTTCGTGATTCACCATGAACTTGACAATCTTCAGATGACCATGGCTCGCTCCAGCTTGCAGAACTTCCTTCATCCCTTCATACTTGTTATAGAAGTACACCACTTCGTCTATTACTGTCTCCACCACGTACTCGACGGTAGTCTGATGGCCATTCTCGGCAGCTAAAGAGGCAGCTTGAGTAACGCGTCACGGATACTAGGAGGCGTATCACAAAGATCCCCGTACACGTCCAAAAATTCCCTCCCACACCAAGGTGTCTATTATACCGCTGTACCCTTTCGAGCTCGCAATGATGAGAGCGTCGGACAGATCAAGTCGCTCTCTTCTTCCGATGGGGTATTCCGCTAGTAATCGATACATCAACCGGTCATCATCAAGTGTTGCTGCCTCTGTGACTGACTTAATGCGTGTCATCAGAAAAATATTAATGTGTTTCATGATATGCGGCAACGCCACAATCAATGGCCGCAGGAAACTGGACGTTGTCTAGGTGCTTGTAGTCGCAAATTAGCGAGCTTTAATGCTCTCTTGCTGTCTGACCGTTTGTCTTGGTCTGCTCATCATGATAGGGGTTGCCTCGGGTGTGCTTGGTGCCGCCACAGATGAAGCTCTCTTTCTCGTTGCCGGATTCTAATCGCCTTTTGTTTCGAAGAACGTTTATTAGGGGTTCTCAATTGTGCAGCAAGTAAGATTTTTTTTTTCGTGCAGCAAGTAGAATTTTTTTCCGGTCATCTGATTGGCCAAGCAAATTTTTCCTGTTCTGCATCAAAATCGATGCAGGCCTTCCAGAACTATCATAAAAAAGTTTAATCAAGATCAGGTAAATACCCCTGTCAATCACTATTCGCCTGCGAAAACCGACGTCCAAAACCTAGTCGGTGGCAATTATCCCAATAATAAAATCGTACCTCCGTTCTGTAAGCTGAATGTTTCAATGAAGGACACCAAATGGGTGCAAAAACGAGCTTCATATGGGTGATTTAAAAAAAACCGTACTAAAAGGCGCTCCTTTAAAAATCCATAATGCTCTTTCATTTAATTTGGAATGATAGGTTATCAAAAATCGCGATTTACCGATCTCCCGTTTTGGCTGATTGGATTCAGTATGGACCTTAAAATTATCTGTCTTAGTAAATATTTGAAATGCTTTGGCACCCTTGATGATATTTTACACCGAGTTTTAAAGTGCGTTGTAATGCCGTTAAAATTGCTTCCAAAATGGATACTACTAGTACATGTATTTCGTTCCTTATTCACCAGATGTTTACACCATATTTACGTTCTTTTTAAAAAAATTAGCTATCCAAGTCTCCTAGTTGTTCGATTTTTTTCTTGAAATTTGTAACCCTTTCGAATTAATTCCTGCTAAAGTGCCTTCCTGAGCAGTTTAGCATGATGTTAAGTGTCGAAATTCGTTAAGAAAATAGCTCGCCTAAATATCAGCCTATTCTCGTCCAATACACATACTCAAACTATTGAAAATATCCGTTAGCCATCAAAGTGACAACAAGAGTAGAATCCATTTGCCCGTAGCTCCTAATACTATTTACGCTATCGCTCGCTGAGCAGAAGATATTTCCGTAGTAAATTCTTAAAGACTTGGTCACAAACCAACTTGCGAATAAATTTTTCGATTTTGGCGTTCGCCCCAGCCGCATCAAGTGCATATTTCAGTACGTTGAGAGGCAAGTCTGCCAGTTGACTTTCATAAACGATCTCCAATATCGCCATTTGTCCGTGATGGGCTGCGGCAACGAATAATTTGTGCATAAATTCTCGCGGCACATGTTCGACGGTAAGCAACTTGATGGTATCCTTAACGAGGCGAATCCTCTCCCCATGTGGAGCTTTCAGAAATGCTCGTATTAATGCGTCAGGGTGTGTGCGCTTCTCATCGTACAACAATTGCATCATCTCGACGTTGTTACACTTAACTGCGTCCACAAAGCCACACCCATCGCCTTGGAAGAGAGTCGATCATCATGTTTCAACAATTTCAGTCTCCGAAGCCCAAGCAGCTCGCACAAATGCTTCGTCGATCAAATTCGACGCTGTTTGTACAAGACCTGGATTATACCAGATGAGAAAAACGTATTCAACGATCTTGTGAACGCACTAGTGATCGCATGCTCCGAGATGTTCTCGTTCTCAAAGAGTAATATAACAACAGCCACAGCACGTGCAGCTGCAAACGCGCGGTCAATACCTTGCTGAGAACCGTTTCAAATTGTACAGGAACATGGCAACGTCGATAGTGTTACACCCAGAACACGCACGCTTGAAGGCCATATCGAACGCCTCCGATGACACCCGATTTGAGCTAATTAAGAACTTGACGACGTCAATGTGTGCTCTACGTGCGGCACTTGCACATGCTCTTCCGATGAATCCAGGTTCATTATAGCCTTTGGTGTATATATACGTGACAGCACCAAGAAGCCCTGATCTCGCTAGCTCGACAAAGAAATTACGTCCACGCATTTGTTGCGGGTAGACTTCGTAGATCCTCTCAGCAAAAGCTGGTTGTCCTTTCTCCAGCGCTGTGACGAACGCTTTCTTCAGATTCCAGAGTATCGCTCTTTCATTTAATAGGTAACTTGCCACAATGGCGTGTCCACCAAGAATTGATAGGGACAGAGTGTCGACGAGGGGCGATTAAGAATAACGCCCCACATAGCCAAGCCTTGCTGCGTGTTGCACCATATACATCACAATACCCAAGTGCCAATTCGACGCCCTGCATCCAGAACGTTTTGAACCACGTTGAACCAGGACGAAGAATACTCGCGATGTGGCAGACCGATGACCTGAGGCAGCAGCAGCTTGACGATGTCGAGATGGCCATTCGGAGCTGCGCCACGACCGCCTTGTCCACTAACTTCCTGGTCTCGTCGTTAGCAAGCACTTCTACCTCGGTTGCTTCCTCGTAAATGCCGAATACTTTGTTCAGTAGCAGTTCTACAATTTCCTG